GAACGCAGCCAGCGGTGACAGAAGGGGTATACAAGACAATAATTTTTGCTTCCAGAAAGAGTTTTTGTATGTGGGGTTCCGCAAAACACTCACTCGCTGATGCACACACACAAACACCACGGCACAAGCAACAATTGACACGAACACGGGAACTGAAAAGAACTGATCGATACGTTAAGTCCGAAATAAACTAACCCAATAAGAGATAGATTTGTTTATGATACCGTAAAAATCAAAAAAGTAAATTAATACAACAGCAGCGCTCGTATGGATGTCTGGTGAGAGCAATGGAGAGATACAAATTGTATTGTTGTTGAAACTATGCGGTGGTTATTTGATAATTGCTATCGATTTCTACAAACGAGTAGTCAACAAAAGAAGCCGAATATATTTGGTGTCTATTGACACAATGAATACAATGGCGGCGTCGAAAGGGAACGTTACGATATGAAATTTAAATTTATGATTTAAATTTATTTATTCAAAAATATAAAGGAAAATATAGGAGTTTCAAAAATTAATAAAAGATTTTTGCAGGTTCTCGAAGAGCGCACTTGTTTGTCCCATTATATTGTATAAAGGAACATAATTTTAAGACAATAATCTGAACATTCATGCCCCTGATTAATGATAATATTCCGTTCAAAGCGCTTGGCGCTGAAAGGGGTACCGACCAGGGGACATATCAATAGGTGTGTCTGGTTACTTTCCCTGCAGGAATTGTCCAGTAACTTCTTTCTGAGAGAGTAAGGTAGTTTTATTCTCTTTTGCAAGAAAAATGCGAAAAGTAAACAGACGGCATCCCTGCAGAAGCTTGCAACTAATCAGCTGATTTGTCAAAACAAACCAATTTGTCCGCCATTATAAAGAATTAAAAGAAAGAAAACACAACCAGTTTAACAAGTTTTTGAAATAAAAAGGAAATAAAATAAAAAAATGAGCAATGAGCAATGAAAAATGAGCAATTTACTACCACTGGCTACAGAGACACACTGATCTTCTTCCGTCATTTTTCTAAAAATGCTGGAAATAGTCTTTTATTTTCCTATTACATATTAATACTTACGTTTTTCTCGTTTTGTAAAGTTTTTCTCCAAAAACAATTAGTCTTGCTAATTCCAAAAAAAATTATTTTCAAATTGAAAGCACAAAAATAAATAAACAAACAATAGAAAACATCTGATTGAATGTCGATGTATGAGAAGAAGAAGAGTTGCAAGAGATTGCAAGAAGAAATTTTTCCAGCAAGAATTTGCAAACTCTCACTGAAAGAACTGTCAAAATTTCTCTCTCCAACCGCTCTCTTTTGCAGAACTTTTGGGTTAACAGACGACTTCCAGTAACAATTTGTAACAATTGTTACAAACTTTAGGGTAACCAGACACACCTAATATCAACTCATAAGCGGAAATGGGTAAAAACTTCTGTAGTCGCTCGCAAACCCTGTAAGCAAGGATAGTCAGAATTCCGTGTCATTTACCGGCACTAAACCACACTTAGACTACTAAATCCACTCGATCCCAAACTTCAATTCCATTGCGTATACGTCACGTTAATCCAGTGGATTATATTTGACGTATACACTATGGAATTGACATTTGAGATCGAGTGGATTTCGTAAATCTAAACGTACCTTAAGGTGACAGATCTGAAGAAGTACGCGAATTATTTTATCCAACAATATCATCTCTATTGTGATATTAAAGCATGTGGTACTAGTAGTACAGTACCTAACTAAATTTGTCGTAAGTGTTCCCGATGGCTGGAAAAGTGTGGCAGTCTTGTTGCGGACTCAACCAGAACAAGCAGTGTGATATAAAATGATGAAGATTTATCGAAAGCTATTGTGATATTGAAGCAATTTGAACTTCGATCATGAAGCCGAATTATATAATTTTAAAAATATCCCAGCTAGTAATTTGTTCCAATTATTTTCGGAACGAAACTCTGTTTTTGCTATTTTGATAATAAAGCAATTTGAACATCGATCGTGAAGCTGATTTATAAACTTAAAAATATCCCAGCAAACAATTTGTTTGTTGAATTTATTTTCTGAATTTGGAACAAATTTTCTGAAATTGGAACAAAATTGTGGGAAAGTGTCCACAAATTCGGAATGTTTTGTCGGAAAAAATGAAGTGAAGGAATTTTCCGTTTTCTGGACAAGTTCGGGAAAAAATAAAAAAGAACATTTGAAAATTTCAAAAGTTCCTTTGATCTAAAATTCGGAAAACTATGGGGTTTTATCCGAGCTTTATCCAAAATCGGAAAGAACTGTGAATACTTACGGACGTTTTATTTTGGTATGTTTGAATCCAAATTCTGAAAAAATCACAATATAATTTCCATTCATACCTTGGTCAAAATTGTTAGCTGGGTTATTACGAAGGGAAACTCATGAATGTTGGGTTTGTTTATAAAACTATACATTTATTTTAATTATATAAATATTTTCTAATAACAATCGATAAATATATTACTTATAAAAATCATACAATATAACAACATGATCACATATCTTTGTATCCACATATTTCAGAATCCTGTTCGTCTGTAACTAAGTGAGACTCTGTTAGTAGTCCTGCGTCGTACAGTTGAGATGATAAATTTAATTTTGTTTGCTGGCCTCTTAAACCTAATTTGGCATTTTCTTTGATAAAATTCACCACTGTATTATCGTCAACAACCGACATCTGAAGGCACTTGCCCCATGCCAATAAGGCCAGGGGTCTTTGTGGTGTTAATAATTGTGAAGGGGTAATAATATGTCGATATAGACAACCTTGTAAAATATTTTGCAACTGTTTAATTTGACCAGAAAAGGCACATGGATGATATAACATAACAATACCGCCATCGGACAAACTTCTTAGCCAACGCTGTGGTGGTAAGTATTTGTAATTGCCAAATTTAGGTGCCAAAGGACGATATGGACCGCTAAAAATCAAATTAGATCAAATAAATAATTTAACTTTTTACTTGGACTTGAAATCAAATCAATCTTACAATGTTGGCAATGAATCCCCATAAGAAATAGTTTCATTTAAGCACTTGGCAGCTGGTTGATAGGCCGCAGGCACAAAATGCTCTATCAAAATGGTAGTAGTGTTAAAATTTGGTTCAAATACGGTACGATTCCCCAAACACAAGTAGTTATACGAGTGTCGCTTATCCTCGGGATCAAAGTCAATGTTTATGTTATCCTATAAAAGAACAAAGGGAAATTAAATACAACTTATTGTCTAATTTGTTCACAGTTCCACTCACCTTTCCATTATCACAAGTGTGTTCATTACTTTCCTTCGTATTGAATTTATTGTCCGAAATTCCGGGAGCGTGTGGAAACCATGTTCCCTGCCACGAATCTATATCTGCCACATTGTCTTTTTCCGATACTACGTCATAATGATAATTTGGTGGCTTGGGGAACCACAATCCATTCCATTTCTCTTCTACGCTGTTGTCCAACAATGGCCCTTTCTTGTAAATTTTACAATCAATTAACCATATTAATTGTAGTAAATTAATTAGTACGACAAATTTTATCATTATTTAAATTATTTAAAACAAAAATAGAAATAAGAAAAAAAATAAAACAAACAAAGAATACGGGAGTGAAATACGAAGAATTCTGGTTTCAATGCCGGAAATTTTAAAATCGCCGGCGCTTTAAATTAGTTCTTATTTCGACGGCGTTGCGAAATTAGACGAAATCGGGCTTGAAACGCAATTGACAAACCAGAATCAAAACAAACTTCGGAATCAAAACAAAATTGATTAGGAGAGCTAACCTAACTAATTTAAAAGCGTTCCAACCAAATTTTCAACTCCATAATTTAAATTCTCTAAAATTTTGGTAATCATCGGCCAATCCAAACCAGAGATATAACAAAAATTTACTTAGCATGGCACGTAAGATATAAGAAACTTCCATACTTTGAGAGCTTCTACTGAAAAACTTAATTTTCAGACTTAGCATACTATTCTTCGGAGGCGTCGATATATGCAAAGGAATTGGCAATTGAAACCCACTGGGTTAACGAAATCCGGTTAAATGTAAACGTACTCTACAAATCAGGTGGTCTGTTCCCGTACTGCAAGAATCTACTAGTTTTTACTACGATCATGAATATTCCTTTATGATATCGAAGAAAATAGTAAACTCGAGTAGATTCTTGCAGTAAGGGAACAGACCAAGGAATAGAAATACTAGCAGTATTTTGTTGTAATCGAATCCAGATCCAAATACCCGAGGTAGATTTAATAAGTTGTCGCATCAGCAATCGATTATAACAAAAATATGTTATAGAATAATGATATTTTTCTTTTTGATCTATTCTACAAATTTTACTACGATAACAAATTTTCCTTTACTGTATCGACAAAAATAGTAAAATCAAGTAGATTCTTGACCCCTGGTATAGCATTTGCCAGTTAAGGGTTAAACATTGTCCAGAAGACTGAATACAGTGTTCTAATTTAATTCTACTCCAAGTTAAACAAATAAAATCAATATGGTAAGCAATACAGTTTTCATTCATTTAATAACATTGAAAAATACAAATTTATTTTCATATATAAATGTATATATAAATAGTTTTTGGTGAAAAGCTTAATTTAACGAAATATGTAGGTATGTGCAACAATAAAAAATAACAAAAACAAAATTGGTGTAATAAAGATAATCACTTGTATGGCTTCAGATATATAAATAGTAGTGTATATGTATGTTTTTTTCGACATGTAGGGTATATGATTTTTGGTTTTGTTAAATATTCCTTTGTTTTCCATAAATAATATTGAAGGTCATTGATCCCCGATCCATTTTACACCTACCCAAAAGAAAAATATTGGCTTCCGAACGTTATTAATATTCCCGAATCTTGTAGTGAGGGGTTTGTTGTATGTAAACAATGAAATTAAATGCCCACATTCACTACGAATGTTTTGTTTTCTTTTTTTTTGTCAGACTTTCGATTTTAGTATTCTTCAAATCTGATTTAATCCTGCTGCCACTGTAGAAGTAAATTTGATTAATATTAAATTATGAGATCGACCTAGAATTTATTAAACACAAACCCTCAATGCAGGTTGTCCACCACCGGCACGTGCTGCTTCTTCCTCACGTCTCTGCATTTCCTCGCTACGCATTTGTTGTCGCTTGACCCGTTCCGGATCTTTTATTCCTCTTGTTTCATTTTCCATACGACGTCTTTCCGCTGCTTCCAATTGTTGCTTTCGCCTGGTTTCCTACAATTGCAAATTTAGCAAACATTTGTGTTATTATTGCGAAGTTTTACTTACTGGCGATGGCATTAAATTGGACTCCTCGGAGGAGCTGCCAAAACATGATGAACATAAGCCACCCATTGTAGAATACGTCGAAATTTTTTAATCACAAGGCAAAAGTTAATTACGACGATTGTCTCATTTATTTGTTTTGTATTTTTTCGTTAGAGATCTATAGTTCGATTATTGGAATGTCCTATAAATTCCTGAATGAGTCGATTTATACCTTTTTTGTTTATTTTATGAACATTTAGTCTGTTTTTCCACAGGCAAATTTTTATTTGGCAAATACTGAGTTTGTTGGCGAGAGGGGTGCGAGGAAGAAAAAGAAAACGTTGCCTGTTCAGAATTTGCGGTACACGCAAATTCTGCTTTGCTCTGTTTACTGAAAACAATTTTGTTGACATTTCCTTTTTAACCTATTCGTTTTACTGACACACAGTCGGCTTTTGTTTAGTCCGTTTTTCCACAGGCAGATTTTTATTTGGCAAATTTTTTGTTTTCTCTTTTGAAATTTTCGCTTGCTTTTCCATTAGCAAAATACAAAAGAAAGAAAAAAAACGTCAAAAGTGTTTGCATTTTAAAGATTTTTTAATATTTTATTTATTTTTTATATATTTCATTATATAAATTGCAAAATTAAAAATTAAATTTCACTTGCACAAATTAAAGCAACAGGTTTGTAAACAAAAGCCGGCTGTGTGTCAGTAAAGCGAATAGGTTCAAAAGGAAATGTCAACAAAATTGTTTTCAACGAACAGAGCAAAGCAGAATTTGCGTGTACGGCAAATTCTGAACAGGCAAATTTTTGTTTTTCTTCCTCGCACCCCTCTCGCCTACAAACTCAGTATTTCCCAAATAAAAATTTGCCTGTGGAAAAGCAGACTTACAAACCCTTTTGCTTTAATTTGTGCAAGTGAAATTTAATTTTTAATTTTTGCAATTTATATAATAAAATATAAAAAATAAATAAAATATTAAAAAATCTTTAAAATGCAAACACTCTTGACTTTTATTTTCTTTCTTTTGTATTTTGATTCGCAAATTTGCTAATGGAAAAGCAACCGAAAATTTCAAAAGAGAAAACAAAAAAATTGCCAAATAAAAATCTGCCTGTGGAAAAGCAGACTAAGGAAATATTCATGTGCACCATTTTTCAATTGGTTTTATTGAAATTCTCTATTAGAATTTTTACATCTTGTGGTACAGGGAATTGTAATTGTGCATTTGATGTAATACGGAATGTATTTTTGTAACCCAAATGAAGGTAGCATTAATTATCCGAATAGGATGCATTTTAGTACGTCTCATTTGTTTTGCCTATCCAAATTGTTGAGAATCGGTTAAGATATAGGTATAGCTCCCGTATACAAGATGGTGCGCCTAAGACCCGTCTTTTTCCCAATTGAGGCGTCCATTGGGCATCGAATAGAATCAACAATGACTTTTCATTGGATACAGGCTTGGGATTTGTTAAAATCTATTACATTCAAGCCTAATGCGGTGCTATGGTGGGGTTCCATGATAGCTCATTTTGGGAACATTTGTTTGTCATGGAGAATTCTCAACCCTTGCCACCATCAACCCTAGGGAATACACAAATTGAAAAACTGGATCATATCACAAACAAATGTTCCCAAACTGAGCTAGCATGGAACCTCACCACAGCGCCGCATTAGGCTTGAATGTAACAAATCGTCGAAAATATTGAAATATTTGAACATAAGTCTTAGCTTTTGACCGATTTTAAAATTTGTAAGTACAGTCCATATATAATTTCATCAGATTCCATGTTAATATGTAGCAAAATAGTGTGCCACTTTTTATGCCACCTTTTCAAAAGTTTTGTGCCACTTTTTTTCCAAAAATTATACTTTCTGTGATACTTTTCAAAAAAACAATTTCGTACCACCGAGTGAGAAATATGCATCACACCTGAAGGGATGTTTGTTCGAAAAATT